TATAAAGAAAATAGTAAAAGAATCACATCACAGTTACAAAAAACAGGAATAAAACTACCTCTTAGCATAGGGAAAATTCACAAGCTAAACCAAAAAAATAACTCATTTCCTTGCTTTACTTACAATTTTTGTAATCTTAGATGCTCATTTCAGGTATGTTTTTAGGAAATGTTTTTTCCTGCCCTGGTCTCTCTCCCTGTCCAAAAAGGGAACAAACAAAGAGCATCAATCCCCCCTCACGCCTTCCCACTCCCCTCCAGATTTGAAAGTATCTTCTTTTCCTCATTGGCCCTTTTGATCAGGTGCCAACTAGGTTATTTGAGCTTCTTACCCCTTACAGGTAAAGATTCAGTACAGCTACCCAGGAGGAATTTTATGCTACTCTTAGCTGTATGTTTGACACCCTGGAAAAGGGATTTATCATGTATCCTCTACTCTTGGACCTAGGATACCAGAATATAATGCTTTCTAAAATTCAGCATAAAAAATGTATTCATACAAACAATACTTTTCAGAGTCAATAATTATTTCAGGAGATCTACTTCCTCCTTATTGTAATTACAAAGAGATCTGGAATTCTTCAACCAGTGGTTGATCTGGGAATGCCTGGCTTTATTGCACATAGCGATTTTAAGATGGACATTAAAGCATCATTGTGACAGTGAAGCCAGGGAACTTTCCTGCATGTTCCCATAAAGAGAGGCACTGGCATCCACATCTAGTGCCTTCTCAGAGGTGGGTCTAATAGTAGCTATGGCACTACTAGTAGGTGCAGACTTGGTCCCAGATGGAAGCAACGATGACAGTGTTATAGTTTGGGATGTTTCATTCAAGGGCCCTTTTTAACATCTGTCCACATTTTGATGTTCCTGTCTTTGGAGGAACGGCTCCTTGAGCCAGTGGAGTTGACGTCACGATTGTTAAACATAGTTCTGTCTGAATAGATCAATGGGTACGAATTATGTTATGATTAACATATTGTACTCAACCTTTGGGTGATATCCTGTGTTAAATCTGGCAATGCTTGTAGCTTTTGATGTTGGTCATGCTACCCCAGTGAAGAATCTACTAGAGAGACAGTGTTGGAAAAAAACTTGCGGGTTTTGCTTTTCATGACATACTGTCCATTTTATGGTGCAAAAGTAAAGGGGTAAGGAGCATCAGCACATTTAGAGTCAGCTCAGGAATACCATCCAGGCAGAAATGCTCCATATCAATATTTTGCAGCGTTGGATCTTTGCGTTCAAATCTGTTTATTTTGTCTTCTGGTACTGGTGTAGAAAGACCATATCAGTGAATTCAAAACTCTGGTACACGTTTCAGTAGATCTACTTCTGTGGACATACACTTGCCTAGCATCCATACAATAAACTAGTCTATTGGGAAAACACCAGCTTCTCTAAGGAACGATATAGATATCAAGGTGGAAAAAATATATTTTTTTAAATCAAATTTTAAATTGGATTTTTTTATTAAAACTAACCTATTTATAATTAAATTTGAAATGACAACTTATGTTAAGGCCTGGATTTATTGTAATTTGTTAATCATTTGAATTAATTAAAAATTATTTTGTATATATTTGCTGCCAGCCTTTAAAGAAAGTCAAACCACTGCACTGGTGGAAGTCACTAGCTAAGAACCTGGTACCAGGGATTGTTGAAGTGCTAAACCAGCTTTTTGACATCAGTAGCCTCATCTGCAGGTGCAAAACGAATATTTTCTTTATTTTAGTTTATTCAACTAGTTCAGCTCGCTGACTAGTTCTGTAAAAGTTAGGAAACCATTTGGGTGTTGAAAAGGAAGGAAAGCTTGTTTTCCTCTTCCAGTCTCTGAATAAAAACCAGGCGTGAGAGAAGATCTAATAGTTCTAAAATTTTTGAAAGGCGCAGTGACCAGAAACTGTTAAATTCATTCACTACAGATTCTTTTGTTTAATAATTGTTAGTTTTAAATGCAAAACACATTTTTGAAAAACACTTTTCTAATGTATCCAGCACATAAAGGTAGTTTCATTTAATTAATAAAAAATGAACTTTTTGTACATTTTAATTGAATTTTAATTTCTATCCAAATAGAGCTTAACAAAAAACACAAATAAAAATAGTAAATAAGAAATGCTTCATTTACCAATTTCTAACCAAATAACCCCAATTTATTCAGATTCTTAATTTTTACTTTAATTGCTTAACTGCATAGATATAGCATGTCCTCTTGGTTAGCAAACAGAAACACCAAATTTAGTGCAAAAGCTCTATTTAGTTGCAAATCAATGTATTGTAATGGTTATCAAGCTTTCTTTAGGAAAATAACTCAAATACAAATGCAAAACAAAATCAAAATCTATTTAAATCAAGGTTTCCCTGTTTGCCAATTGAAATCAGGATTAAAACTAATCCACCCTAATAGATTTCTCCTTTTTTTTTGTCATAACTCTTTCTTTAATAAGGATAAGTAGACATTCCATGGACTTGATTAAAAGTCTCAAGTATTTTTTTTTTCTATAAAACTATACCACTTAAGCAAATCTCTGCTTTTTTCCCCTTCTGCTTTAAGGTCCTCAGGAAGGAAAAAAAAAAAATTGATATTCCACTTTAGCGTACCTATCAGTAAGTTAGGACTTGAGGCATAAAGACCCTGTCCTTTGAGAATAAGAGCCTTTCAAAAACTTTTTCCTATCTGTTTTTCTGTGTAGCCTCCCCCTTTCTGAAGCTCTGCCAAGCTGCATGTTAGTCATTTTTAGGCTAAGGGTTATGTTTCTGAATTTAAACAAAGTCCAGTCTTGTATTAGGAAAATATTTAAAAGCTTCTTTAAGAAATGGATCTGATAAAGCAGCTGTTGAGGTGATGCCTGAAGTCAAAACCTTGTATTCAGACTGAGTTGTCCATGACAACTACTTGCAAACATCCATTGTACAGGTACCATAGGGGGGAAAAATCTATGTAGTATAGAAACATTTGGAGTTGTAAAAGGCCTTATTTTTGCAGCATTTTTATAAAGGCAAAAAGCAGGGCTGTCAAACATTTTAAAAATCATGGTTAATTGTGGTTTTAATCACACTGTTAATAGAATACCATTTATTTAAATATTTTTGCATGTTTTCTATATTTTCAAATATATTGATTTCAATTACAACACAATACAAAGTGTACGGTGCTCACCTTATATTATTTTTATTACAAATATTTGCACTGTAAAATAGAGAATATTTTTCAGTTCACCTCATACAAGTACTGTAGTGCAATCTCTTTATTGTGAAAGTGAAACTTACAAATGTAGAATTATTTTTTTATATAACTGCACTCAAAAACAAAACAGTGTAAAACTTTAGAGCCTACTAGAGTCCACTTAGTCCTATTTCTTGTTCAGTCAATCGCTAAGACAAACATATTTGTTTACGTCTATGGGAGGTCATGCTGCCTGCTTCCTATTTACAATGTCCCTGAAAGTAAGAACAGGTGTTCGCATGGCACTGTTGTAGCCGGCATTGCAAGGTATTTACGTGCCAGATATGCTAAACAGTTGTATGCCCCTTCATGCTTCAGTCACCATTCCAGAGGACATGCTTCCCTGCTGATGATGGCTTCCGTTCAATAATGATCCAAAGCAGTATGGACCGACACGTTCATTTTCATCATCTGAGTCAGATGCCGTCAACAGAAGGTTGATAATCTCATATTGATACCTTCTTTAGGTTTTGTCAAATCTGCAATGAAAGTATTCTTAAATTGAACAACATATGCTGGATTGTCATCCAAGATTGCCATAACACGAAATTTGTATGGCAGGATGTGGGTAAAACAATGGAGCAGGAGAAATAAAATTTTCCCTGAAGGAGTTCAGTCACAAATTGTCCGAAGCATGAAGTAGCATATGAATGTTTAGCATATCTGGCACGTAAATACCTTGCAATGCCATAAAAGTGCTGTGCGAACGTCTGTTCTCAATAAGCGGGCATCGTTCTCTCCCATAAATGTAAACTAATGCGTTTGTCTTAGCGATTGGCTGAGTAGGACTAAGTGGACTTGTAGGCGCTAAAGTTTTACATTGTTTTGTTTTTGAGTGCAGTTGTAGAATTTTTTTATATATTTGTAAGTTGCACTTGCATGATAGATAGATTGCACTACATTACTTGTATGAGGTGAATTGAAAAATTTTATTTTACAGTTTAAATATTTGTAATGAAAAACATAAAGTGAGCACTGTACACTTTGTATTGTGTTGTAATTGAAATGCATATATTTGAAAATGTAGAAAAACATCCAAAATATAATAAATTTCAGTTGATATTCTATTGTTTAACAGCACAATTAAAACTGCGATTAATTGGCAGACTTACAAAAAGTACTTTCAGGCCAAATGCTGCATGCGTCTTCAGAGTTGAGATGTTTCGTAAATTAACATGTTCAGCTTCATACTAGTTACTGAGACCAAAATGTTTGTGGACATGTATATACATGCAAAAGACCTTTCTGAAAAAAATTATAGCTAGTTTTGTCTTATTGGAATGTGAATATTAATATGTACTACTTCTGTCTGAATCCGTATACTGTAAGTTACATACTACATTGTAGATTGTTTTGAACTGTATAATTCTGTAGGGAAAATATTGACCAAGTTTTGCCACTAATTTTGTTCTGAAAATACCAAAAATGAATAAGCCAGGATATTTTCTGAGGAAAAAAATTTATAGAGGGCGCCTTCACCTCTCCTTCCCCCGACCCCCAACCAGGAAATTAGTTTTGGAGGCAATTTTTCCCCTTGGCTAGTGCATTTAGTCTTTCCACTAATGGGTTTGGGTAACTTTTTCCAGCCCCTGATTTCCAGCAGTGAAGATATTACCACTAAGATGCATAAATGTTGAACTTGTGTCCACTATGACTTTATACTTAACTGATTTTATTAGCTTGACTTGAATTATTAACAGGCAGGAGCCAATTAATGTGAACACTAATTAATGGTTTGGATTGTTTTTGAAGTTTGGTTTCTCTTTATTTAGGGAGTAACTATTCCCAGTCAGAGACGCTATGTGTATTACTATAGTTACCTGTTAAAGAATCACCTGGATTATAGACCAGTGGCACTGCTGTTTCATAAGATGATGTTTGAAACAATTCCAATGTTCAGTGGCGGAACTTGCAGTAAGTACCATTTACTCCATATTAATGGATCTTATCTGCTAAAATGTATAGGTATTTGAATTTGTGTATAGTTAACTTATGTAGCTCCTTGTGATTGAGGCAACATACTAATGCCATTACATAGCAGGGCCAAGTTACCTTTTTAAGCAGCAGGATGTCTTAGCAGTATAAAGAACTTTTGTTTAGAGTCTTGGAATCTGTTAGGTTCAAATCCTGGCAGGATGGGGGGGCTATGCACTCCTTCATCCTTGCAAGAGTTCCAGGTAGTCTGTGTGGGATTTGTTTTACACCACCTTACAAACAGGTGCTGTTTCATTAAACGTTAAATTGGGAAACATTTAAAGTTGTTGAGAAGTTAAAAGTGCATTGGTTTGGTTCTACAAAAGTCAATTTAAAACACCGCAACATTACTGAAATAATACTTACTGCTGAAAAATAAAGTTTTGGTTCTGTGAATGGTACATAGACTCTCAAATGCAATGAGATCCCCATGATTGTTGAACCAGCTCATGACATTTTTCTTCAGTGGTCTCTAAAATATGTGATTCTATTGGATATGTTATGTCTATTTGCTTCTTTCTGAAGGAAGGGCTTATTTCAGATGCTTATAAAGTAACATATCTAGCCAGATGTAAGTCTGTCTGATTTGCGAATAGGCTGTATATTGGAGAGCAACTCAAGTCACCAGACAATTTCTTCTTTAATGAAAATCTGTATTCACCTTTGTCTTTGAGACTGTAATTCAAAGTAACGACTGCGTGGTAGCATGCATTCATTTTCTATTAATGTACAAAAATGTTGCTTTCCATCATTTCGGTATTGGAATTACTGTAAAGGGCAGTATACTGAAACTTAATGCCATTGCAATACACAACCTGAACATACATAGACTTAAAAAAGTAACCAAGTGCGGGTTTTTTAGCAATACCTAAAAACTAGCTTGATTTGCAGGAACAGGAAGGGAGGAGGCTGTCTGCAAACAAAAAAGAGAAACCACCAAAATGGTAAAGTGAAGATTGCACAGATATATTTGCAAATATCTGTTCAGCAAAATTCAGGCCTCATCATACAAAAAGTTAATGCTAAGTTTTTAAATTATCCTTAGATGGTTTTCTACATTAGCAATCTGCATATAAGTTTAAACCTGTACTTTTTGATACGCTTCTCTATTACGTCTACTCCTGGTGAGTTAATGACTTAGACAAATGCATTGAAATCCATAATGTGTTTTCCTCACAAGTGTGATTTCTATGAGGTTTTAAATTGCATTTCAGGTAGCAAACCTGTAATTGACTACTTCTTGAATCTCTGTATGTTCGGTTTGTACCTGTTGTGATGATATTAACTTCAACAGGCATAAAGAGCTAAATATTACCACCCCTTCCATGAGTTCTGAGGCCCCTGACTCAGCAGGATCAATGTGGTTTTTCTGCAGAAAGAGTGGTGGTGGCAGGATTTGAAGACCCTGTATGTGAGGGTTTGAGCGAGGAGATGTAGTTGCAAGTGTCATGCTATTCAGCCCTGTAGCTAGAGTGCTCTGGCTGTAGACTCTAAAATTCTGAGGCTGCAATAATAGATTCAAAGTTGCTTCACAGTCAAGTTCCCCAATCCCTTAGATGCCCAGTGAACAGCCTGGATTAGATCTTAACAGATAGGATTTGACCTAAAGTGTGTTTCTAGTCTTAAAAGTGATTGTGATAAAGTTGCTGGATTTCATGTTTTTCTTTCCGTAATTTCTAGATCAAGTATGCTTAGTTTACAAGTAAAAAAGATTTTCTATCCCTGCAGACTTAACTTGAGTTAAAAGTTCAATTGCTAATGTTTTATGGATCATTGCTAGCAGTAAAGTTTCTGTGGGCTGGATTAATTCAGATTTCATAGCCCTGTTGTCATTGTCAGTGTGTCTGTACATTTGTCGAGTGTCCAATTTGACACAGTAATTGGAATTTAGTTAACAGTTCTGTTTACGTGTAAATCAGAATAGAATCCAGTTTATTCTGGCACAGCTGTCTTGGCTCTGCAGTGCAAACAGGATTAAAAGGTAGAAAACTTACTTTTGTCATTAAAATAAGCAGACACTACTATACGTGTCTTGAATATACAAAGGGATCAAACTATTAAGAAGTTGCCATTTTTACATGGTCACTTTTTACCCTAATTTTATTATAAATTAGAATGTAGAATAAACTTGTAAACCTCTTACTGTGGTATCATAGGTTGAAATTCTGACATTATGAGAGTTACAGGATTCTACTAGGCAATGTTTCTAAGCTTTAATGATTTGAAAGATCTTTCAGAAAAGTGGTGGTTTATTTTCTTGTTTACCATATCACAGTGGATAGTTCTAAATACATACTTTTAAAATTTGTTGTACATATTGTAAATGATAATCCTTTGCGAGTCTAACCCAGGTTTTGACAGTTAAAAGGTATTACCTGTGAAATAATACTCTTCTGTGTTTTACCATGCAGATCCTCAGTTTGTGGTATACCAACTAAAGGTAAAGATATTTACATCCCCTTCAGGACCCCCAAGACGAGAAGACAAATACATGTACTTTGAATTCCCTCAACCATTGCCGGTGTGCGGTGATATCAAAGTAGAATTCTTCCACAAACAGAACAAGATGTTGAAAAAGGTTTGTTCTCTCCATCGAGGGAAATATTGTAAAGGTGCAGTGCAAGTGGAAACTGGGTGCTTCTGTTGTAGGGCTTTGGGTCTATTAGGAGTTATTTTCAGTGGCGAGGGTAGCTGCAGAGTTGAAGCCTCTGACGTCTTATTTGCCAAAATCCTGACTCCTGCCACAAAACTAATACTGGCTAGTCTGAGAACCCTTTTGAAAGAAGGATAATGTGTGTGGAAGGTAGGTAAAAATTATGCTAGAGAGGTAAGCATGCAATAGCATAGTTATGGGGATACCTAACTGAAAGAGGCAGTCCTGTTCTTTTAAAAAAAAAATGCCTGTACACTCGTATGTAGTGGATTAGCTTTCAGAGAAGTTACGGAGAAGCATCTAAAGTGCTAACAGGCATCTGAGATCTTAGTTTATGCTCATCAGGAGACAGAGGTAAAGTAAGTTTGGGGTTTTTTTTTTTGTTTGACCTGTATAGGGGAGGGAGTAGTTGAGGGCAAAAGGTAATGTTTAGATTAACTTGGAACACTTGCTTTTCACTCTTTTATAACCAATTCTATATTTAATTAATAGCCATTATTACAATGTCACAATACAGGGGCAAGATTTGCTGCCCAGAGGAGCTTCAATTCTGAGTTAAGACAAAACATAAACAAGATAATACTGGAGTAGTTTAGGAGACAAGAATGCAAGAGATTGTAAAGCAAGGAGATGCCATCATTTTATAGCCAAATGCATACATCTGATGTCTGTGAATAACGTGTATGCAATACATTGTGGTGGGATATAAAGGTTTTATCAGCTGAATTTGTGGATGACTAGATTACTGACAATTGGCAAAGCTACGAACAAATTATGCATGTCATTCCGAACAAGCGTTAACCTGTGTACTACTCCACCATGTATCCTGTATTCACTCTGTTACTGTTTTGCAAATACACCTCTACCCCGATATAACGCTGTCCTCAGGAGCCAAAAAATCTTACCGCATTATAGGTGAAACCGCGTTATATAAACTTGCTTTGATCCGCCGGAGTGCGGATCAAATTTGTGTTATATTGGGTCACGTTATATCGGGGTACAGGTGTAGTTGTGAATTTTAAACTTTTGTATTTATTTGGGACTATTTCTTATTTCTCACCTGTTTAAACCAGGCACCTTAGTTCAGGAGAAGCTACACAGGGCTCAGAGAGTTATCAGAATTTTCTAGAAATGTTTAAAATTCCTTTTCTGAACATAAAAAGTAATGAATATAAGGCACACTGGTAGGTGTGGAGAAAGTAACATCAATGGGACTTCCAGTTGTATAGACTAGTCTAAGAAAGGTGGACATATGGGAAATAAAAAAGAAGAGAGGTAAGAGGGAACAGTATCCTTGTCTTATTAGATTTATCTTGTGATTTCCTCTTAGAAGAGTCTTAAAGTATAAGGAAATGTATTTTAAATGTAAACTTTAATTTAAAAAATTCTCTTATAATATTATATGTACATAGTTCTCATGCCTGAATCTTAGCTCTTTAGCACAAGCTTGGAACTCTTCCTTTTTTTAAACCTTTGAGAGCAATTGGGTGAAAGTTTGAATGTAAGCCAGGCCCCCTACTGGTCATTTCATGCCAGCTCCTCCCTGGTATAATTGTTGTCCTTCCAAACTGATGTGAATGTTTTTATATTGCCTCTGTTCAGCCAAGGTGCTCCCCACGAGGTCCAGCATGTCATCTGCTATTGCTTCAGGATTCTAGTGATTCTTGTTGGATAACTTTTAATCTTTTGTGCTTCCTTCCAGCACAGTCAATTACAATACTAAATTTGTAGGTTCCATGGCACTCTTATCAGTGCTTTTTTTCAGCACAGACCAAGAACCCTTTTCTGCCCTCCTCTGCAGCCTGGGGCACTGGTCACTTGCAGGTTTAAACTAGTGCAAATGGTGAATTCTCTGTAAATTAAACTCTTGAAGTCCTCCAATTATGGTTTAAATAATTCAGCCAGAGGTTAGGGGTCTAGGAGTGTGTGGGTGAGGTTCTATGGTCTGCAATGTGCAGGAGCTCAGACTAGAGGATCACAGTGGTCCCCTCTAACCTTAAAGTCTGAGTCTGAGAACCAGGGAGGACAAAATTCTATTCTGGCAATTTCTATGCCAAGAAATAAGACGCACTTCCCTGGTCAGACTGCTTCCTGCATCTGCAGGAAAACCTCTCCCCATTGCACTGCAAGGAGAAATCACCATGGTCTGTTCCCTGTTACTCTTGTCCCGCTTCTTGATTGCTCTACACCTTGTGTAGCCATTAACACCAGTGCAAAGTGGATGTGAAGCACTACCATTCTTATTTTTGGTGGTATTTCATACCTGTGCGAAATAACATCCCCTGAGCACAGGAAGTTTCAGCGCTGTAAAGCACCAGTGTAGACAGTGCACCAGCGCTGGGAGCCGCACCCCTCGTGGAGGTGGGTCTGCACTGAGACCACACAAGGCACATTAAAGTGCTGCCGCGGCAGCGCTTTAGTGTTGCCAGTGTAGACTAGCACTTAGGCCCTTAGATTCTGCCAAATTACAAACTTGCTGATAGCCTACTTATCCAAGAGGTTAAGGAGCAGAAGAATGAGTGAAGAAAGAAAACTTGAATATTAGTGGCAAAAAAATTGGTACAGATAGTTTTGGTATTCCATTGCTGTGTAGGAGACAAGAGTTTCTTCTCCTCTGCCATGAAGGCAGCAAAGTGAGGCCCTGTAGGTCTTTTCCAGACTCTGGATTGCTTTGTATGCAGACTGCATCTACTCAACCTCAGGGCTTGTCTACACTGGCACTTTACAGCGCTGCAACTTTCTTGCTCGGGGGTGTGAAAAACACCCCCCCCCCCGAGTGCTGAAAGTTTCAGCGCTGTAAAGTGCCAGTATAGACAGTACGTCAGCGCTGGGAGCTATTCCTGTCAGGGAGGTGTGTTTTTAGAGTGCTGGAAGAGCAGTCTCCAGTGCTATGCTGCGATTTCACAAGCCACATTGCCAGTGAAACATGCTCTCAGACTGCAGCATCTCCCACTGAGAGGATTTCTCTCCCTTTAGAGAAAATCACCTGCATTCATGATGTCATAGGCTTCCAGAAATAAACCAAGAGCAGAACTTAAAAATAAGCACTTTCCTTCCAAGATTCTGGTTTATTCACCCAGGCAGTCAGGGAACCATAGAGGGGAATTGGGGCTGCCATCTCTGACACCTGCCCTTCCTGGGTATTAAAAAGAGATTAGGGAACACCTCATATTCCTAATAAGACTGTCAAAACCTCCTTTTCACCAACCTAAAATAGTCTATGCTAGAGACCCTCCCAGTGTTTTAATCTTTCCTAAACATGCTAATCAAGAAGCTAATGAACTCAATACTGCTTGTTAACTGCTAGTGTCCTGGATCCCCTCTAAGGCTTCAGGGAAGGGTATTGAGATAGCATTTTTTTGCCTTGCTTGATAACCACCTTCTCTCCATGGTCAAGGGAAGTACACCTGTGCTTGTTCTGAATCTGTGGCATTTGATACTCCTGATTACCGAATACTCCTGTCCCAGCTGCAAGAAACTGCAGTGTTAGCAGAAGACCCCTGAAAGGGCTCATATCCTTCCTAACAAACCAAACTCTGTTAGTCATGGCAACACTTCCTTCACTTCCAGAGTTCTGTAACATGGAGTCCCATAAGACTCAGTAATCTTCCACTTTATCCTCACGCACAA